GGCAGGACTGGCCTAGGGGTATTTTAAATTGGTTTTAGCCAAATTTTAGTAGAAGCGGCCGATTATATATTTATTTTTAATGATTTTTTAAAATTTCTATTGTATTGTATTAAATTGTTTTAACTGGCTGTAAGCCGCCCTGAGTCCTACGGGAGAAGGGCGGGGTATAAATTTAATAAAATGAAAATGAAAATGAAATTCAATCCATAAAATTCAAAGCAAATGTGCATAAATGAGAATGTTCAGCATTCATAAGGTACAGTTTGCACCTTTTTCTAAATTAAAAGACATTATTTCAGAAACTTGTTGTTGTTGTTAGTTGCGAAGTTGTGTCCGACCCATCGCGACCCCATGGACAACGTTCCTCCAGGTCTTCCTGTCCTCTACCATCTTCTGGAGTCCATTTAAGTTCACTCCTACTGCTTCAGTGACTCCATCCAGCCACCTCATTCTCTGTCGTCCCCTTCTTCTATTGCCCTCAATCTTTCCCAGCATTAGGCTCTTCTCCAGTGAGTCCTTCCTTCTCATTAGGTGGCCAAAGTATTTGAGTTTCAACTTCGGGATCTGGCCTTCTAAAGAGCAGCCGGGGTTGATCTCTTCTAAGACTGACTTGTTTGAACACCTTGCAGTCCAAGGGACTCGCAGGAGTCTTCTCCAGCACCATAGTTCAAAGGCCTCAATTCTTTGTCGCTCAGCCTTTCTTATGGTCCAACTTTCACAGCCATACATTGCAAGTGGGAAAACCATGGCCTTGACTATACGCACTTTTGTTGGCAGGGTGATGTCTCTGCTTTTTAGTATGCTGTCTAGATTTGCCATAGCTTTCCTCCCCAGGAGCAAGCATCTTTTAATTTCTTGGCTGCAATCCCCATCTGCGGTGATCTTGGAGCCCAGGAACTTAAATCATCCCAATAATATATGGGCCCAGAGGCAGTTGCTCACTTCTGTAGGGTCAGAAATATCAGGCCTAATATACATGTTACTTTGTTGTTAATATTTATTGAAACATTCAATTAATAGTAGTATTATAACAAATAATTAAATAGAGTAGTCCTCATGAATCAATTATGTTCTCCTTCCCAAACTAAGATTGTGCTTTCTTTGCTATCACACCATCTCTCAGCTCATGTGAACCAAACGTCTGCTTTCACTTTTAAGAAGATATTCCAACTTTCTGAAGAGCCAAAACTCTATAAATCTTGTTTCACAAAGATCCTGGAAACAAACAACAAATATTTGTACTATAAGCAGTGTCCAATGAAAAGCCATAGTGCACATATACATGCGCACAAACATACACATTTATTTAATTAGTTCCACTCTATGGTCATAGTGTAAGCAGGTTTTTCTAATTTAGCTCCTCGCTTACCGTCGCTGTCCCCAGCTTCTCACACAAAATATGGGAGGAAAGATTTTTAGCAAATTCTAAAGTACAGAATAATTTTATTTGAAAATTACAAATAATATGAACCATGACTTTACATGACCAAAGTTTGGTGAAAGTCAAAGTAGAATCAAACAATAAGTAGCAGTGTTAAAAAAGGAAACTAAGAACATGGAAATACAGATAGTTTATATCTGCCTACCATACCAATCCAGGAATATATATGGTCAGAAGGAAGAAAAGGTAGCTTTCTAAGTCAATGCATCATTCTCAGTGATATTGAGGGATTTTATGTTCAAACAAAGCACCCCCCCCCCAGAGTCCAGCTGTCTTACATATTTATGGTACCTCTTTGTTCATATTTTCCTGCTATTTATTCTTTCAGATTTTATCTACAGTTAAAACTACAGAAGTTTTCTACCTATATGGCAAATTAATTTCTTGGTTAAATTGTACTAATTATGGAATTATAATTAGTAAACACTTTGATGGAAAAGAGGCATACCACTCTTGGTGATGTGAGAATTCCAACTGTCCCAAAGGTTCTGTCATGTCTCAAATCTTCTCTTTTAGATGAAAAGAACTAAAAAACTCAGGGTAATTAAGTTTGTTATTAATTTTGTCATATTTTGTATGTTCTGTTGACAAACCTTTGCCAGTTTCAAACTTTAGTAAACAATAATAAAGTGACTAGAATTGGAATGCCAATGTTCTCATGCAAACGTTACAATGGAAGTCTATAACTGTGAAAAGTTATCTACATATGATTATCAGCATTCACTGGGGGAGTATCTAATTTGGTGAGGTGTGTGCTTATTAAATGAATGTCAACTTCTACCACATTTTAGACTTTCATTGGAGTACACATCTGAAATATCATGGTTCTGCAGTCTACATTCCCCACCAAGGAAGGAAAGTTTCAAAGCCTGAATGTTTCAGTCACATTTAGGGCTGGGCAACCTCTGGTCATAAGGTCATATGTGCCCTTGACCTAATCGAAAGCTTACCTTTTTTTTAACCTCCCTTTATTTTTTTCAATAAATAACTCAAGACAGTGAGCAAACATAATACTCCTTCCTCCTCCTAAATTCCCCACAATAACAACCTGTGAGGT